TTTTGTAATAAATGTCCCAAGAGAATAATGGGAGATTTGACTCTAAAGAACGATGATATCAATGGGATTTTTTCTTTGCCGCAGGTTGGTGTTCCATGTGAATTTTAAAAATTCTACAGTACCAATAAATTGATTTTTCATATGGCATAGTTATTAGTAGAATGAAATGCTTAGACATCATGACTTGATATCCAGATATAATATATAACAACCACACTAGAGGATAAAAGATGAAAAAAAAAACACAATTACTACTTCATACACAATCAACAAAACAAAAATTCATCCAAATGATCCTAACAATTACTATTAAAACCCAAAATAGCTCAACTAAAATGAAAAGATAAACAAAGACAAATAGACAAATGAAACAAATATCTAAGGGGTTTAAAAATATAACTTACTATTAAAGAAGAAATTAAATCGTCCTCTTGAAACTTGTTGAATATTTATTTATTATTATTTTTTTTTTTTTGTTCTTCTAAATTCATTGTTCTCGTGTTTGGAAGAGGGGCATGACCACGACTAATTTATATGATTGGAGTTTGGCGGGTTAGTGCCTAGACTATGTTTACTAGTCAAATAAGATAGCTTATAGCTTATTTGGTTAGCTTATAAGCTTCATGTATTCAAATAAGTCTCGTTTGGTAGGATTGACTTTTTTAAAATGCTCGAACTTATCTCATAAGCTTGTTTAGATAGCTTTTCAAATAAACTAGTTAAAATTTTTATTTCAGCTAACTTTTCAGCTATAAGTCATAAGCTATAAGTTATAAGCTCGAAAATTACATATATAAGTTATCAGCTAGCTTATCAACTATCAGCTATAACTTATCAACTATAGTTTTACCAAACATAGCCCTAGTAGCAAGGGTGGATCTAACAATATATAATATTTTATTAGAGTGATGTTTGTAGTCTTTAGACTTAAATATATAAGTAAATTATTTTGTTGGGTTAGTGTCTTGGTTTATTGGGCTGAACTAGAAACACAATAATTTTTTTTAAAACTTATAGTTGTCAAAAATAAAAAATATCAGGCCTGAACTTCAGCCCAACCCAGACCCAATCTAAATCCGTGGTTAGATCAACAAACACATTCAATGGTGAAAAATTACACTTTTTATCAGATAACTGCATATACATGCAATCATATACTTACTTTTTATCAAGCTGTTAGTCTAAGCTAAAAATTACACCTTTAATTCATTGTTCACATTATTACATAATATGAGAATCATTCAACGACTTATAATTGTTCACGTCTGTCCAAACGTACACATTAAACACGCACATTTGAATTAGTAGCAAAGAGATGGTGGAAAAGGACAGTTGGAGAAGAAAATGATAAATAGCCAAAAGTATATTGAGAGGCCCCTTTGTGATGTTTTCTCACAAGCCACCTTAAAAAGTACTTCGAAAAGACTATAATTCAAAGGACTTCAATTTTTTTCTAAAGTTGCTTTCACTCCCACTTTCTATCAGCACATGATGTGCTTAAATCAAATTTGGGTAGACAACTCGTTTGATACAGTAGCGTTTGATTTTGAATCTAAGCTAAATTTTGGTTTTTTTTTTTTTAATATTAGTTCTTGAAAAATATTAATAGCCAAAAGTGAACATATATCTTATTAGGATTGTGTATGGAGTTTGGAATGTATCAATTTATGTGTGTATGAATAATGTATCTATGGATTTTGATGTTTTATGATTGAAATTTTGGATAGTGATAAAAAAAAAAAATATATTCAAATTCCGATTATGCATGTGTGGAGGTAAGTTTATAAGCATATCGAAATATTCTCCCATCCAAATCATTGTAGTGGTTTTAGTATTCTTTTTTAATATTTAAGTATGCATTTTCTATGTTATTTTTAAATGATAGTGTGTACATATTCAAATACTAGCTATCTCCATATTAATTTAATTTTTATATTAAATTGTCTGATCGTTATACATAATTAATTTTCATTCAATTTAAAAATTTTAACTAAAGATAATTAATATAATAATTAAAATTATATTGCATATTAAATATATATCTATATGCAAAATTTATCATATATACACTAACCACATTACTAGTTTAACAAATTTTTTATTCCTAGTCCAATTATATATATCTACAGTTCAATTAGGATCTTTTAGAGCGTGATTGGATATGAGTTATAATCCAACTTAATCAGATATGATCGATTGAATCATTTCATATTCAATCACCTAATTCTTGAAATCTTCAACTTTTTTAGCAAGAATGTTTCTGATGTCATGCAAGCAGATATCTGTCACCTTCTTCATGGGATTCAAATGCATAGATCCTCTAAGTATCTGGGATTGCCAATGGGGATTGGAAGATCAAAAGAGCAAACATTTGATTATGTCATTGAGGCTGTGAGAAAGAGGATCACAAGTTGGAAGAATAATTTCTTATCACCTGCTGGAAAAGAAGTTATGATTAACTCTGTTCTGAATGCCCTTCCAGTATACACTATGTCCTGTTTTGTATTACCTAAGAGTGTATGTCAGGTGATAGCCCAAAGTTGTGCCCAGTTCTGGTGCAAGAATGGCAATGAAAACAATTCTGGTATACATTGGAAGAGATGGCAGCTTATCACTTTGCCAAAGCTGTTTGGTGGGCTGGGATTCCATGACCTACAACTCTTCAATGATGCACTCATCTTAAAGCAACTCTGGAGGATTATTTCAAAGCCAAATCTTCTTGTTAGCAAAATTTTGAAAAGCAAGTACTTCTCAACTGGCAATCTGCTAAAAGCAAATGTATCCCAGAATGCATCTTGGCTGTGGTCAACTTAGATGGCTGTGAGAGATAGATACAGTGACTGCTTCAGAATTCAGATAAGAGATGGCCTGAGCACTAGCATTTGGAATGACCCTTGGTTGTGCACTTCCTACCCGAAAAGCCAACTTAGATCAACAGACAACAATCAAGTCATCAATTGTGTCAGGGATTTGATGGATGCAGAAGGCAGGAGATGGAATGTGGATCTGATAAAACAAATTTTCAATGCTGAAGACTGTGCCAATATCCTCAAAATCAGTACCATTGATCCTACCAAAAGAGATAGATGGGTTTGGAAGGGTGATGACAAAGGGGTGTTTTCTGTCTCTAAAGCTTATTCTAAACTTGCTGAAAAGAAATTCAGAAGCCTGGACATAGCAGAGAGCAGTAAATCAGCTGGAATACTTAGGAAAATCAGATGCAGAACTTGGAAGCTCAAAGTTATGGGAAAATTAAAGCATTCCATTTGGAAGAGCTTCTCAGATGCACTACCAGTCAAAGCTGCACTGAGGAGAAGGGGCATGTTTGTAGATGGATTGTGTCAATCTTGTGGTGAAGATATTGAAACTATTGAGCATCTGTTCTTTCACTGCAGGATGGCCAAAGAGGTATGGAAGATATCTCATGTGGATTGGGAACTACCCAGTGATCCTACTACCAAATTCAGGTCATGGTGGGGTTATGTTTGTTCCATCAACAGGTTGGAGGTCTCGGAAGCCCGTATTGAGCTAACCACTTACCTTTTGTGGTGGTTATGGAAAGCACAGAACCTTTGGGTGTTTAAAAAAGAATGGTTGCCTGTTTAAGTTATTGTCAAGCTAGCCTTGGGAAGTTGGCAGGAATATGCTAAGAGGAACTGCAAATAAGCCAATGATGAAATGAGGTATTGTCTAGGTCCTATGGGTGCAGTGGTCTACCTCATGACTTCATTAGTCTATTTCTATCTAATTGGTGTATGTCTGCTGATCTGCTGACTTCTGAGGGGTAGCCTTTTGTTTTGGGTGCAACTTCTATATGTATTTTTCCTCATTTTGGTGTCTGCCTTTTTCTTTCTTGTATTTGTTGTTGTGTTGCACCTGGTTTGATTGGATTCCTAAAGAGTATTAAGGGTGACAGCGATTTGTTGGCCTTAGTATGTGTTTAGGGGTCATTTTGTGATAGTGGTGTATTTTGTTGGTCATTTAGAGCACCTATGTGTAGGTGACTCTCCCGTGTTATTGAGGTCAGTTGGCCTTCGGATTGTATATTTGGACATTTGATGATATTTATAGTATTCTATGNCCTAATTCAAAATTCTACTCAACTCAACTTTCATATTTTTTTTTATAAATATAATAAAACAATATTAATCAGTCATTCTCACACATCACCATATGATAACTTTAATTCTCTATCCATCCACTCATGTAATTTTAACTAACTATCACTTCTTATAAAATCTCTTATACTTTTTACGTCATATCAACTTTATATATTATATTTCAAATATTATTTATTTCAAATTTACTCTATTAAAAATAATTCACTTAAAGTCATCAAATTGGATCACAAGTCACAATCGATTTAATTTATATCCAATCACTCCCTTAGTACCTGACATCCATGTCAAAACAAAGGACGTTCTAAATGCTACATGGACGTAATTTTTTAATAAATGTGTATACTTCTAAATCATAACTTATTTTAAAGCGATAATATATATAAAAATATAATATTCATAAAATAAATATGTATTTTATCAAAAAAAATATAATGAATCCATCCCCTAACAATTATGCCACGTCAAAGAATAATTTGTGAAGAACAAATATATTCTTTGATTTAGTTTTATAATAATTGGCCTGGCTTTTATGAGGTGATAGCTTTTTTACTTTTCTCTAGGCTCTAGGCTAGCATACTTTTCACATATGGGTTCTAAGTTCTAATCATCCATTGAGGTACTATGCTACGATTATTTCTTGAGTTGATGATCACGTGAAGGAAAAAGAGCATGCAATTTTTTAATTCTTCTTTTCTTCTTGATTTCCTTTTCCTAATTTGTAGCTATTCTTGTGTTCTTTCATTTGTTATATGTATTCAAATGACAATTTATTTGGCCCTTGAACACTTCAACAACATAAAAAAAAATTATTTCAGTTATTTTATTGTTTTTAACAAGATAAACTCAAAGCCCCTACCTTGACATTTATCCTTTTCTTATTGATGTTGGCTTTTAATAATTCAATTTTCCCTTTTTGATAAGTAAGAAATAATTAAATAGATGAATCATGAAGGTGTGTTTGGATAAACTTTTGCAATGGGAAGCTGGTTCACTTGTGTGAAAAGACTCTTTACACCAAGCCCAAATCAAAATAAATATCAAGAGGTAAATTTGTTATTTTTTTCCATTTTTCTAATAAGAAAAAATAAACAAATATCATCATCATTTTCCTCACTCAATCATCACTAATTTTTATTTTATTTTATTTCCTTATTTATTTATTTATTTTTGCTTCCAATTTTTATGTGATCAAGAAACGCAAAAGGTTGGAATTCAGACGGCGGTGTAGCGATCCGGCGGCGCACGTCCCACCGCGGCGGAATCTGCGCGAGGCGGCGGAGGAGCAGCGCAAGCAGGCGGTGGCTGTCGCGGTCGCCACCGCCGCCGCAGCGGAGGCGGCTGTGGCGGCGGTGAACGCGGCGGTCGAGGTCGTCCGGCTGACGAACGCGCCGTACGAGGTCGGGAAGACGAGGGTTTTCTACGCCGCCGCTGTCAGAATCCAGACGGCTTACAGAGGACACCTTGTGAGCTTTTTTGCCCCTAAAGAATCAATTTCAGTTTTAGCTGTCAGATTTTTGAATTCTTCCTGAGAAATAAAAAAAAAAAAACGAAGACAAAATGTTGTTTTGAAGGGGATTATTTGTATAGATTTTTCTCAATTTTGAGGAGATTGAGGAAAATGGTTGTCTTCAATTATTGGCTAAATTTGCAATTTTATCATTTTTCTTTTTTTGGGGAAAATCATGATTTATGCTGGTCTACCGTGTAGAGATGTTCAAAGAAACGAACTTTTTTAAGGCTTGTTTTAATGATTAAGCTCGGCTCGTTAAAGTTCGTTAGGCTTTAATAGGAGTTTTTACGAAATATAATTCGGTTTGTTAAGGTTCGAGCTCATTTTTTGGAGCGTTAGGCTTGATAAATAGGGATTTATACGTAATTTTCCAAACTTTTAGCATAATTCAGCTCGTTCGATCTTGTTTATCGGCTCATTATTTTAGCTCGGCTGAATAAGAATTAGAGCCCGAGATTTGAGTATTAGAACCGTAAATAAGTCAATATTTATAGCAATTACCATATGGTTATATAGTTTTCAGCTTTCACCTCTAAAATAGATCCAATGATTCACTTGAATCAATAGCAAGGCTTTCTTAAAAAATGGGATCTTTTATGCAGGCAAGAAAAGCATTGAGTGCACTAAAAGGGATAGTGAAGCTTCAAGCCGTGGTCCGAGGTGAGCTCGTGAGAAAGAAAGTCTTGAAGAAGTTGACATACATTTCTCTATTCTCAAAGGCCCGGCCATTGTTAGACGTGCATCGAGCGAGAGTTCGGCCGATGGTTGATTATCTTGGTCATGACAAAAGGAGGCATAGCTTTGTTGTAAATGAAGGCTTCAAATCCGAAGAATTTAAGGTACTGTAATGAAAAAATCAGCTGCAATATAATTTTACACTCAAATGCTTCGACTTTTGTTTTATTATTATGGTTTTGTGTTTTGTCGGTTTCATAGTTTGGTTGATTTGTAATATCTAACAAAGTTGAGGAGTGTGATTGTGTAACACAACACTGTTTGTTGCAAATATAACAAACAGGCTAATTCATCTCATCATTCACAACATTATTGTATCTTCTATTTTTATGTCCGGTTGAATTTTTACTCAATATGCATGAGTTGGCGATTTATGTGTTTAGCTAAATAAAATCATATTTGTTTTCGTCTTATTATTTGAAGCTTCACTGTAACACCCACCGGAGTTTGGATTTGGGCTCGGTCTCGAATGAAGCCACTGCTAAAAGGGAGTACACGAAGCAATATTCATTCTCTCAATGGGTAAATTTTTATTCTGCTAAGTATCCTCCAAGTTTAGTCTAATCACAAAAACTCCCCATCGATTTTTTCAAAATTACAAAAGCCTAATCGATATTTGTTTCTATGTTACTAATTACTTGCTCAAACCTATCAAGAAAACTACAAATGTAAGAAAACATCGATGTGTAACTATATCTTTGTGTTTTTTTTACCTTTTTACCCCCAACATATTGGTACAGGAGAAGAGAAATGATCAAAATCTGCAAGAACAGACGACCCTCAACCGAAACACGAGCATCCATTTGCTTCAACATGAGGTTCATAATCAACTAGAAAAAATCGAGAATTTAAAGCCCATGTCACGTTCGAATTCCATCACAATCGACTCGACTAGGCTAGCGCAGTTGAAATTGAGAAAAAACGAAACTGCAGAAGGATTCAACTCGCCATCTTCACAATCGAGGAGGTCTTTTTGCCACATAAGCCACAAATCGAGCTCAGATTATGGATCTTTACCAAATTCGCCAGTTTTTCCAGCTTACATGGCAGCCACGGAATCTACCAAGGCAAAATCGAGATCGTTTAGCACCCCAAGGCAAAGGTTGAGGCTATGCGAATCGTATGCGGGCCCGTATTCTCTGCACAAGCTCGGCCTTTCTTCATGTGGGTCGTTTAATGGTGAAACATTAATAGCCAAGAATGAGAAAATGAACTGCAACTCGTAGTTAGTAATGTGTTTAATTAGTTAGCATGTGCATTATTAGTTATTTCCTTATCACTAGTATTTGATTCTTATTAGGTTTAGTATTTCTATTTCTTATAGGCTTAGGTTTTCTCTACTATAAATAGGCCTATGTATTCATCTTTTTATTCATGCAAGTAATAAAATATGGAAAAGCTCGTCTTGAGCACAAATCTTTCGTGTTAGAACTAGGCTGATAGTGCTGGTTTTATCACAACTTATTGGCATAAATTAGGAAATATAATAATAATAGGTGTAACGCCCCACTTTATTTTAAAGGATTTATCGAATTTATTTATAAAAAAAATCAAAGTTAATTTTTTTTTTCGCAAATCTCAAATTAAATTTGAACTTAACGGGCGCTTCTTAACTATCAAGAACTATCAATCGAAAATACGACACATCGCTTTTTGCAAAAGAATAATCGTGCTTTCTTGTTTTTTTTTTTCTTCTGTGTTTCTCTTTGAACTTTGGAAGCTTCTGAGAGGATCGGGAGAGGTCTCGATTTCGGTTCTTGCTCAGTAATGTAAGTATGTGTCTTGTACTGTTGTACATTTGTGCATATTACCAGATTTTTCTGCTTTGGTTCTCTCTGTATAATTTCTCGAGGATTTTATGGTTAAAAAAGCTCAAAACTGAAATAGAAAGCTCAAATCTGAAACAGAACTTACACTTCTTGTTGCAACTCTCACGAAATGCCTGTTTTTGAGATTTCTTTTTTCTTCTTTATTTTCGAAAACAAATATTGTTTCTTTTTTTTGGGTAAGTTGGGTATTGGAAAAATAAAAAAATAGCTGCACACATGAATTAAATCAGAATTTTATCAAATACAAAAAATATGACCAGATTTGCTAGGAAAATTGATATGAACATGAAATCAAATATTCAAGCAATTTAGTTGGTTTTTAACAGTGGAACTAGTCACACTCAAGATGTTCCGTATACATTTTGAATTTTTTTATTTTATTTTTTTTGTAAAAATACAAAAATTCAAAGTAAAATTATAAATTAATCATTCATAAATGAATCATAAACTAAAAAATAATGCAGTTAAGTAACCAGTGACAAAGGTAAACTACAAACCAACCAATGAAAAAAATAAAAATTGGTATATTATATTTTTTTTTTCTAAAAATAATTCGTAAATATACAAGTAAAATAAGATTTGCAGGTGAACAATGTGAGTTCTCTGATTTACAATTTAAAATAAAAAATCTTCATTAATATAAAATAAGATTTGCGGGTTCCAACATTTTGTTGGATAGAAAGAAAAAAAAAAGTATCATTTAAGAAGGAATATTATAACAGAAAATAATATATCCATTTTATTCCCTTCTATTGAAAAAATCTCTAAAAGAGAGTTTATTTAGAAATAATAATAATAAATAAATAAAACTCGCCATATCCAAACTTCAGAACGGAGAGTGGAAAACCCAATGTTATCAATCCATTTCTTCCCAGCCGCAACCGCCGCCGCCGTACCCACCGCCAAGGCGCCACCGCTCAACAGCCTCGACTCCTGCTCGTCTATGTCTGAGCTCCGGCAGCACCACGCCCGCGTCATCAAGCTCGGCCTCTCCTCCAACAACGACGCCGCGGGACGCATCATCAAGTTCTGCTCCCTTTCAGATTCTGGCGACCTGAACTACGCCCTCAAGGTGTTCGACAAATTGCCCCACCCAGACGCTTTCGTATATAACACCATTCTCAGAGGCTATCTGAAAGCCCAACTCCATAAAAATTGCATCTTTCTGTACTCGCAAATGCTGGAACAAAAACAGGCCAACCCAAATAAATTTACCTTCCCGCCGCTAATCCGAGCCTGCTGCTTCGAAAACGCCATTCAAGAAGGAAAGCAGGTGCACGCCCACGTCTTGAAGTTCGGGCTGGGCCAAGACCCGTACTGCCAGAACAACTTGATCCACATGTACTCCGAATTCGAGCTCTTGGACGAGGCAAAAACAGCATTCGATAATCTGGAAGCCAAAGACGACGTATCTTGGACCACATTGATGAGCGGGCTTTCTCGGGTGGGCCTTGTGGATCGGGCCCTCGATCTCTTTGAATCGAAGCCCGTAAAAAACGGGTCCATGTGGAATGCCGTGATCGCGGCCCATGTGCAGAACGACAGGTTTCGTGAGGCGTTTGCTCTGTTTGATCGGATGAGGGAAGAAAATGTTGAAATGGATAAGTTCGTGGCCGCCAGCATGCTATCGGCTTGCACGGGCCTCGGCGCGTTGAAACGGGCCGAGTCGATTTACGAGCACATAAAGAGACGTGGGGTCCACATCGACCACAAGCTGGCCACGACTATAATCGACGCGTTCTGTAAATGCGGGCGTATCGAAAAAGCCCGCGAAATTTTCCGTGAGTTGCCGAGTAAAGGAATTTCGTCTTGGAACTGTATGATTGGTGGGTTCGCAATGCACGGCCGAGGAAAAGATGCGGTCGAGCTTTTCAAGAAAATGGAGTCGGAAAAGACGGTAAAGCCCGATTACATCACGTTTGTGAACTTGCTTGGTGCTTGTGCTCACTCGGGCCTAGTCGAAGAAGGAAAGTACTACTTTACGTACATGACGAAAGCCCATGGGATTTTACCGGGTATGGAGCATTACGGATGCCTTGTCGATTTATTGGGCCGGGCCGGGCTTTTGGAGGAGGGCAAAAGAGTCATAGATGAGATGCCGATTCGGGCCGATGTGGGAGTTCTCGGAGCACTTCTCGGGGCATGCAAAATACACGGGAATATCGACTTGGTCGAGGAAATCGGAAAGCAAGTGCTCGAGTTAGAGCCCGAAAATAGCGGACGATATGTTTTGTTGGCCAATATGTACGCGAAAGCCGGTAGATACGAAGAGGTTGCGTACATACGGAAGATGATGAACGATAGAGGAGTGAAAAAGTTGGCCGGGCTTTCGATTGTCGAGTTAGATGGAACCGTGCACGAGTTCATCGCGGGTGGGCGGGCCCACCCGGAGGCCCGGGAGGTATATGCGAAGGTGGATGAGGTTTTGGTTCGTATTATGGAATATGGTTATGTGCCGGAAAGTGATGGGATGATTTTAACGAGCGAGGAGGAAAATGAGAACCCGTTGTTTTACCATAGTGAAAAGTTGGCTATTGCGTACGGGCTTTTGAAGACAAAAGGTGGCGAGACGATTAGGGTTACCAAGAATTTGAGGGTTTGTAGGGATTGTCATGAGGCGAGCAAATTGATTTCGGAGGTTTATGATCGTGAGATCATCGTGAGGGATAGGAATCGGTTTCACCATTTTAGACGGGGAGTTTGCTCGTGCAACGATTATTGGTAGGGATAGTTTGTTTTGTATATTTACCTAATAATAAGTAACCCTTCTTTGAAAAGAATGATTCAAGATGAATGATTTTCTTCCCTCACAAATGAAAAGACTTGGGAAATGAAAGGCAATGTATGGAATAAATGAATAATAACCCACATATCAAAAATGTAGTACAGAAGATAAAGAGATATAACAAAACTATGAGTGCAATTTTGCAGATTAATCTTGAAATTTGATATGTGGTAAGAGTTTTGGATAATGAAAAACTAACTCTAAGAAAGTTCGCGACTGCGTTTAGCAGCAGCCACAACCGCGTTCATCAAAATCCCACGAAAACCAGCTTTTTCCAGCTCGTGAATCCCGGCTATGGTCGTGCCACCTGGCGATGCCACGTCATCTTTCAGCTGACCTGGATGCTTCCCGGCATTTGCCACCATGGATGCTGCTCCTAATACCTAATAGAGGCATTCGGATTAAGATTCAGCAGTTGATTATGAATAATGACGTTAAATTTGAAGAAAACTATAATAAAAGTACGGCTAAAAAGGGGAAAAAAAAAGATGAAAAAATTCGAGTGGCTTTACAGTTTGAGAAGCTAAACCGAGTGCAAGCTCCCTAGGTAGACCAGCAGCTACACCTCCATCGGCTAAAGCTTCTATTGCTAAATATATGTATGCCGGTCCACTACCACTGAATATATATCAGAAAATAAAATGATTTAGCGTAAATTACAAAAATTGCAATCGAGATGAGCGTAATTTGCTACTCAAAACTACAGAAAGATCGAAACTTTTCATTTTTTCTATTTGTAAATTTCACCGACTCAGGGGAATACTTGTAAAATTCCTCGAGGATACTTGTAATTCTGAATAGAATTGGTTTTTTTTTTCGACATCTATACAAATATGAGATATGTTTACAAACAGAAAATTTTGAATACTTATTTAGTTTCGAAATATAATCAAAGCAAAGTTGCAAGCAGCACACCTCAAGCCAGTAACAGCATCAAACAGCTTTTCATCGGCTGTCCACACTTTGCCGATTCCATCAAACAATGTTGCGATTAATTCTCCATCTTCCTTAGTTGCTGTGGTCCCCAGGCTGATAACTGAGTGTACCCAAAAAAAAAAAAGTTGAAAAAT